CTATCCCCCGCACCGGGGCGGCCCCACCGCGGCTCCGGCTATCCCCCGCACCGGGGCGGCCCCACCGCGGCTCCGGCTATCCCCCGCACCGGGGCCGCCCCAGCGCCTCCCGCAGACCGGCACCGGCATCCCCGGGCGGGTTTAATTTTCGCACAGCGAGGACATCGCCCCGCGACGCCGGGACCGAAGCCGGGGGTTGAGCACCGCCCCCGTCCCCTCCCGGGGCCACCCCGGCGCCCGGGCAGCGCCGTCCCGGAGGGAAACCGTGGGTCCGGCCCCGGTGTGCGGGGTCAGCTCTCCGCGAGGGGAGCACACGGGCAAATCCCGGCTGGGGATGCCGGGGCGCGGAGCAGAGGGGATGGGGACGGTACCGGTACCGTGGCGGGTCCCCGGGGGCCGGCCCGAGAGGGCTGAGCCCGTACAAATTGCTGGCAGCTGCACACCGGTTTGTAAGTCTTTTTTTTTTTAATAAAACAATCGGAATCTGTATCAAAAATTTAGTAAAAAATTAGATTTGAGAGTTCACTGATTTTTTTTTTTCTATTAACTATTCCTGGCGCGCTTTTTTTTTTATTTTTCTTTTTATTTTTTTAAAACTTTTTTATCTTTTCCAACAGTGTCCAGGCTGGAGTGTTGGCGTGAGGCCAGCGAGGCCGTTCCCGCACGGCCCCAAGGAACAGCCGGGACAGAGAACACACCCCACACCCCACGGGGCGGTGGTTTCGCTTAAAATCGAGCCCCCAACCCCGGTGCTCGCTGGGAAGCAGAGAAGTCGTCGTGGCAGGGGACTCGGCTCACCCTCCCGCGAGCGTTCCCCGACACAGCAATCCACCCCGCGCTCAGCCACGGGCACCCCAGGACAGGCTGACCCAACTCATGACTATTTTATGATGCGTGAGAAAGATAAGATTTCTTTGATTAAAAATAAAATAAAAATGATAAAAGAATCAAACCCCGAACCAAGAAGCTGATCCACCCCGAGAGGAGGAGGAGGAGGAGAAGGCTGGCTGGCCCCAAGGGCCTTCCCCTGACCAGCCCATGGAGCTCACCTGCAGCACAGCACTGCCCTCCCCCTCCCCAAAAACTACACATCCCAGTTTAGGTAAACAGCAGATTAAATGTAAAAACTTAAACCATCGACTTCAGAAAGTCCCTTGAATTTAATTATTTTTAGGCTACCTTTCATGTTACGTCCTGTAGCTAGACACACGTGAATAGAAAAAACAGTACAGTTAGTGTTAAAGGCAAACAGCGGAGACCCAGAGTGCTACCCCAGTGCTGCCTGCTCCTCCCGACCCGGCCCGACCCGTCCCGACCCCCCTCCCTGCCCACCGCCCCGGCCCCGGCCGAAGCCCAGCCACCGGGAAGGCGTCTTTGAGCCGAGAATTTTTTTCTATGAATAAAATAAAACCAAAGCTTGTTAGGCAAAAATAAAACAAGTGTCCCCCGAGTCCCGCGAGCGCTCCGGTGCGGTGGGYGCAGCCGGGGAGAGCCTGCTGGGGAGCGGGCTGGGGTTTTGTGTTCCCGGCTGGCGAGGGGGCTGCCGGCCCACAGACAGCACCGGTGTGGAGCTGGAGGCCCCTTCTCCCCCGAGAGCCTCGCATTTGTTAAGGGGGCACGTAGGGCGGTGGGGACCTGTACGGGGTCATGTTCTTCGGGCGGGAACCTTTCCCCTCCATGGGTGCAGTGAAGGGSGGGGGAGGCTGGTAGGGCGGTGCGTTGGGGTCCTCGTCCCGCAGCGGAGTGTACTCCCCGATGGTGTCCTGGTTGAGCGGCGTGGTCTCTGGCATGCTCTGGTTGGGGTACTCTGGAGGGGGCAGTGGGGCTTTCTCCTCCTGGAGGATGAGGGGCATGCTGGAGGACGGTGGGGGCTTGGAGTCATCCAGCTCGTCAGCAAAGATGATGGGCACACCTTTCTTTATGAAGGTGGCCTGGTCTTCGATAGTCAGCTTGCCTTTCCTCTTCTTGCGGTAGCAGATCATGGCGATGATGCCGGCCACGAGGAGGATGGCAGCCACCACCACGGCAGGGATGACGGTGTGCAGGTACACATCGTCTTCGCTGCTCTTCTCAGGGTCTTTGCCTGCCGCCACCGTCGGCGCTGCCTCCGGGATCACCTTGCCATCCTTGGTCACAGGGACGAACTGGAAGTCCTTGCAGCTGCCGGAACCAACCACAGACACGTTCAGAGGCTTGAATTCGGGATGCAGGACGTTGGAGAAAGCTGGGCTCGGCCTGCCGGAGTCATCTGCAATTTTTCTGCTCAAAGTCCGAATCTGTTCCCGGGGGCAGGGCTCCAGGGGCAGTGTGTTGTTTGTCCACTCCACWATGAGGGAGCCTTTGGTGATGCCCTGCACTGTGATTGTGCTGCTGTTTCTGTCGCCGAACGCCAGAGCCAACTTCTTCACCAGCATTATCTTCTTATGGATGTCACTCACCACTGCCTTGTGGTCCCCTTCCAGCCTGGCCTTGAACTTCACTGGAGACTTGTCCCCATGCGGGCGTTTGTGGACATGGATTTCAAAGGCATCCACAGCAAAAAGCCCACCCTTGTCAGTGGCGTACATGAAGTACTCATGCTTCCCAATGTGGTTGTGGTCCGGCATGCCGTACATGAGCTGGCTGGTGCTGTTAAACTGCACCCACGAATTCTCTTCAATCATCTGCTGCTCCTTCAGCTTCAAGGTCAGCTGCAGCTTGTCAGTGGTGGTGTCCTCCTTGTCGTAGAAGGTATCTGACGGGATCTTAACCTCAAAGTAYGTGCCCTCCCACGCGTCGACCCTGTCAATGTGGTTCGTCAGCTTGGGTGGCTCGTTGGGCTCCCAGGGCCGGGGCAGCCCGCTAGCTGTGGTGCGCACACGGGACGGCGGAGAGGCTGTTGTCAGCTTGGAGATGGGGGATCTKGTTGTGCTGGGAGGCTTTGTTGGACGGGGCGTTTTGGGCCTTCGAGTAGGCCTTCGCGTTATTGCTGTGGAGGAATCTGTCGTGGACGGCGTGCCTGGCCTCAGGGTGGAGACTCTCGGTTTCTTGGTGGTAGTTGAGGGCGGTGTGATCACTGCCGTGGGCTCTACGTACCCGGGCATCGTGGGGCGAATCGGCACGGAGGCCGTGCCCGTGCCTTCTGCTACCCTGGTTGGCTGGATCGGCCCCAGTGTGGGTGTCTGGACAATGGGGCCTCTGGTTCTGATGGTGACYGTCGGCTTCCTCGGCAGCGGAATGGGCTCCCGGGCAGGGGGTGCCATTGTCTCTGTGGGAGGCGCGATGGCGGGTGATGTTGGGGTGGGGACAATCCTGGTGGGAGGCTCTTGTGCGGCAGTGGTGGGCGGCCCGATGGCAGTCAAAGGCGTAGGGGTGGCATTGATCTGCCGCCGCATCCTCTTTGGGAGGTGAGGTTTCTTGTTAGCAATGTGCCAGCCAACAACAGGGTAGCCAAGGCGGGCAGACATGGTTCCTTCCTTAGCTGGAGCCTCCACCTTGCTGATGTTGGGGACACTGTTTTGGCTCAGSGAACATCCCAGTTTCCATGAGAGTAAGGCCCCGTTTTCCACCACCTTCTTTGCATTTCCCGGTCCAGCCATGAAAGCTGACATGTCAAAGAGTCTGTTATTTACAACAGGAACCAACTTCATGTTATGMAGTTCCACCTCTGAAAAACTTCTCATTCTGTTTAAGAGTTCAATCCTCTGCTTTGGTGTCATTTTTGTTAAGTCGGCATCCAAGATGACAGTCAGGATAGTGACCGGCTCTTCTGAGCCGCACACGAACGGCGTTGTGTCACTTGTGTCTTGGACAGCCACTCGCACCGACTGAGGCTCGTTGTGGTCTTCTTGGTGGACCTCAACAGAGAAGACGTTTGTGGTCTGCGGGACGTAGCTCCCGTTCGGGAAGGGCTGCAGTGTGGTCACCGAGATGTAGTGGACACCTTTGTCCGTGTCAAGGGGCAGCCCTTCCAGGGAGCTGCTCTCCGTGTTCCAGTGCAACCAAGAAGGCAAGGAGTCCTTCCCAGCTTCAGAGATCTACCAAACAAACAATAAAAAGATGCTTTTAGAAGYACAGCATTAGGACAGGTTCTAGAAGCAGTAATGCTTAATTTCAAGGATTAAAGAAAAAAACTGAAATGTAACAACTCGGGAAGGAACATCCTGGCCAGAGCATRGCAGCCTTTGCCTCCTCCACATTTTGGCAAGGACGAGCTCTGCAGGGTGCACTGGACCCAAAGGGCTTAAGGGGCCACAAGAGGTCACACAGTCCCACAAGACCCCCTCGCCTACAAGGGCTCCAACACTTGCTGTGCAACTAACAAGCACAAGTGGTTCTTTTTCTCTGAGGGCAGACAGGGAGTTTACATCATGGGGACAGTGACAAAGCTCAGGGCGAAGTTATGCCATGCAGCAGAGCTGATCCAGCAACTGCCCTCTTCCCACTCCTTCCTCTCAGCTTGGCCATCTTGCTCCTTTCCTCACCCCATCACACCCTGCCCACCCTACACACATCAAGTCCACTGCTGCAGCCGCTCAGCAGAATATGTATTTTCTCCACTAACTTTCAGCTTGTCCCACTGTCTCCAGAATCAGGATCAGCCAAAGGGGAAGGGCAGAAGCTGGCAAACCATGGTGCAGAGTCCCCGGCCTGGCTGGAGCACTTAACAAGCAGCAGGAAATCCCAAAAGCTACACGGTGTTGTCTTGCATTGCCAGAATAACAGCAGCTGGGGATGAAGGAGGGGAGCAGACCTGGCATGATGGCCAGTGTGGGCAGGCAGAAATGCAGCACAAGGGCTGGA